TGGCTGATTCTACAGTTATTTCCAATATTTACAAAATACATGAGTAGCCTTGCAGGTAGTTCATCTTTTCTTTCCTTTGTAATGCAGGGTCTTCGGTTCATGATAGGGCTTTCCCTATCATGCGCCGTCATTTAATTATATCTTAAACGTGTTGTTCTTGAAGTCCAATATTCCGACGTATATCATGTCCTTTTGGACATTCATCATCCGGGTGGTTTGAGTTCTTCGTCTACCCCTCTTTTGGTAGCAATACATAGGCACTTTTTAATTGAGTGATTGTCTGGTCTTTTTATAACGTGACCGTAACTGCATCCTGGTAACGGCACCACCTTTCTTGTTTACTACAAGAAATAAAATTCACTGTAGATTGGCTGATACTACAGTTATTTCCAATATTTCCAAAACATATGCGTAGCCTTGCAGGCCGTTCAGTTGCATTCTTTCGTAATGCCGGGTCAACTTTCTCAATCATGCGCCGTCATTCGCCGAGTCAAATGTTGCGACGTATATCATGTCCTTTTGGACATTCGTTACCCGGTTGCTTTGAGATCCTCCGCTACCCCTTTTTTTGTAGCAATATAAAGGCACTTTTTAATTAAGTGATCGTCTGGTCTTTTTTTAACGTATACCATAAAGCGTAGTCTAGCTTCAGGAATTTCATGGGTTATGGGGGCTACTTTGAAAAATGTTGTTTTTATAGAATTCATGTTCAAGGTCTTCTTCCTTATTGAAACACAGGAATATATCTCAATGGCCAGCCAACTTTGTGGTGCGCATCCCAGAACACAAAGCGCTGGCGGGGTATCAGGCTGGGATACCTCCACGCGCGGCTCGGGATGTTACTTCTTCCGTGCGCGGATGCGGTAGCATCCTGCCCTGGTATACCCTGGGCAACGGGGGCTAGCAACGTCCCTAGCGGGGCCTTGCTAGCTGCCGGCTAAAGTCTCAGCAGGTAGGCAACGGTCTTTCGGCTGTAATCTATTCGGTCAGATTGTATCGGAAAGACCTATATAGAATTTGCTTTCTTCTTTAATATCGTACACAGTCTATTGTAGGTATTTCAAATTAGAAATGCGAGTTTTTAGTTACACCATGTCCATTGCACACAGCCCAAGGTAATCTTATTGTGCAGAATCTTAGTTACGATACAGATTCTGGGCTGAGGTTATAATCGCTGAGTTGCATCTCCTCGCTCTAGGGCGGAGCTGAAGACCACGGAAGACAGAAGAATAGTTTAGATCCTGACAGGAATGTCGTGCAAACAACTACACTGATTTCAATTGGGTGTTTGTTTGATACGAGACTTTTTATTTGTTCGAGTGCTATTTATCATAATAATATTTTTTTTTTTATAAATACACTTATGACTTTTGTAAGAAGTTTTTTTTTTATAATTGATTTACTTGTGTGCCTGTATTATAAATTGAAGTGATGAAGACGTCACATCGATATTGTTGAACACATGCATGTAAGTATTTTGAGTTAGTTATTTATAATAGAGGACTCCAAACACAATGCCTCTAGTACCTACAGCTGCTAATATCGCAGCAAACTGGACATACAAGACCGAAGTAACTTTTTTAACAACTGTTAACTCGTTTCCAATATTTCTAGATGTTACGTAATGTTATTGTAAGCCATTTAAATCAATAAGTATTAAGTATACATAAGTAGTCCTTATATTTTTATATCTGTAATTTGATTCGAGTTACTTTTGTTTCTACGAAGTATTATTATAAACTGAGTTTATTTAATTATTGTTTGCAGAACAGTGCAGGTATTTGACCCCAATCACTTCTGATATTAATTCAAGTTTTACGTTTAGATCGTCGGTTTGGTACTTAATACTTCCACGGAATAGAGCAACAACCACGAGTTGTCAAACGAAACCGATTTTAGGACGTCACTGGAAGTCATTTGTGTGTCAGTTTGACGATTGTTTTACTGTTTTGTACATTAATCAGTCACTGAACCAGTCACCACGTTTCTGGAACACATTTCTTATCCACGATTCAAAAAATATGAAAAAAACTGCCAATGAGTGCTAATGAACTGTCAAATACAAAAAATCGGTTCCGTTATGTCGCATCACACATTTCTTTTTATCACACAGTATTGCTGCTAGTGACATCTCGCTCGCTTAGTTCTTTGTTGCTCTATACCCTTTTTAAGGTGCCAAAATATATTTGACCTTACTTTTCAGAATGACAATTTGGTGGAAATGAAGACGTCGCACAATTTTTGTATACAGAATATTGTATTTTGAGTAGGTATCCAAAAAAGGAACGTATGCAAAATACAGTATTTGTATACAACTGCTCGCATCGTTGGAGAACTGAACATAGAAGACTAGTGCTGAACAAAAAGGCACAGGACAATATTATTTTTAACCCCTGACAGAAACAGTGGTTTATAAATATCATGAATGTATTTGCTATCTGTGTATTCTATCATATCCTTTAACTGGTGACATGGTTTTTGTGTAACGTAACTGGTGACGTGCGGTCTGTGAGGCCGCTACCATATCAAGACTGTAGCATAGAAACTAGGTAAGGTAGCATACCACAATCTTTTAAAAAATATTGTTAGCATATAGAAGAATTAAATTAAAATAAAATAATAAACTTAAATATCATTTTTAATGCAGAACTTGCTGTTAAATTATATGTAGTAATCAAAATCAAAAAACTAGAGATGAGATCGATAGTCGCAAACAAAGAAATTTAAATCAACAAATTATAACAAAATTAGCATTTTTTATTAAAGTTCAAATAATAATCAATTTAAAAAAACCTATCACACGTAGGTAACCTATCATTTTAGAAAACTGGCAGTGGGGAAACTTTTGTATTTTTTATTGGCTGTCAGGGCATTAATTGTTTGGCATAAAGGTGGACCGTCATTTTCACTTTCTGACTGATTCTCGTCAATTGGTCCTTCATCTTCAAAAACACTTTCTTCGGCTTCCGAATCATGGTCACTTTGCTCCAGAACGATGTTTTCAGGAACATATTCGGCTGCCGACCCAATTGAGCCTTTCTTTTCCATATATTTTTCAACTGGCGAATTTTCAAGTCGTTTCATAAAGTATGACACTATATTCCCAACTAATGATCCTACGCTTCGTTTTTGGAGTTATTTAAGTATCAATTGCAAGTAAAAACTGTAAAAATACGAAAAAACTGTATGAAAAAAATGTCACGTAACTGGTGACATGCGGTCTGAGAGACCGCTGCTGAACTTTATATCGATGTAACTTGCTGATTTAGAGCTGAATCATCCAAATATCCTTATCTACGGCGTAGACACAACAAAACTCGAAGCTACTGAAGCGGTGAAACATAGGAAGTACGGAGAAGGGGGTGAAACGATGTTTCACTGACGCCGACCGGCCTGTGAGACCGCTTGTCACCAGTTAAAGGATATCTATGTCTATACTTCGTATGTTATTATTTATAGCTTTCAAAACAGCTTAATCGATCGAATCGAAAATCTGTTCTTCTTCTTTTGAAGCTTGTTTTACATGAACCGCGACATAAAATTGCGAGTCTCTTATCCTTTTAAAATCTTTAAATAAATTAACTTTTGCTTAGTAATAGTAAAGATGTGAATTCCAGCATCCAGCTAGCCTTGTGGTTCGTAGCCCGAAGCACGACGCTGGCAGTAGCGGGGTACCGCGCCGAGGGACCTCCACGTGCGGCGGGTTGCTGCTATTTCCTCTTTGGAAGCAGCAGCGGGGTTACTCCGAAACGTCACCTGAAGTGTCGAATGTTGCCATCCCTCTCACGCAAAGTGAGAACGACGGTGACAGGACCAAAACTACGTAAGCAGCGTTTCGGAGTAGCCTTCTAGCCGGCTCTAGAAGTAGCAGCAGCCCACCCGGTGTACCCTGGGCAACGGGGGCCAGCAACGGCCAAGCAGGCGTTGCTGGCCGCCGGCTAAAGCCTCGGCATGTGCGGCAAGATGTTTCATGAGGAACGTAAATAAATTCAATCATTAAATTCAAACAATTGCATACTCTGACTCGAGACTTCTATGTGTCACCAACTCATTAGACGTCCTGCCTGCACTGACATATTGCTCACCAAGGTTGTGGTTGTTATTATGATTTGATATGATATTTATTTACAAAAAGTGAAACTGACCTCGATTACTAATTTAAATTGACATGCCATATTATAGATGACCCACGCTGAACTGTCCCACCAAACTCAATGACAGGGGGGCGCTACCATTGTTCAACTATATGGTTTCCATCATGGTAAAAATCGGAACCAGCGATCCGGTATTGACGGTGGCGCCCCGCTGTCAATGTCATGATATTGGAACTATAAATCAGTGTTCAACTTTTAGTAAAAAGGTACGGTTAGTCCATTGCGAGTGAGCGGGAAGAGTAGAGAACCTTGGTTAAAGTCGACTTCTTGAACAGTTTTGGTATAATTTTTTGTAGGTTGGTTCAATCTGTATCACGTTTGCTATGAGCGCCTGAACTTTTATTTTATCAGGAAATATCTTTTAGTTCAAAAGTTACAACGTTTTTGATGGGAACCGATAGGTGGACCATTTTTTGTTATATTGTCTATATTTTTATACTTTTTTGATTCTTTTTGATATCTTTTGTTTTTGAGTTTGAAGTTTTATGTTTTTGATAGCCATCTGGGCATTTTATGCAAAAATAAACCTATAATAATTAAAGGTAGCCTTTCCAACTAAGCGTCACAGACGCAGCGTCTTTAGCTTTGGTCTTAAAGGTAGTCTTTCGAAGCGAGTTAGTGACACAAGACCAAAGCTAAAGACGCTGCGTCTGTGACGCTTAGTTCGAAAGGCTACCTTAAACCAAGGTATTTCGTTCGTTTTGCTCGCCCGATCGGCAATCTTTACAATAAGTAATTCAAAGAAAAAAAAATCTATAAAAAGAGCTTATTAAAAAAAATGTGCAACTGTTTGCAAAATCTACTTGTATAGAAGTTGTAGAGGAGTGGTGTGTAGTGTGTACTCACGTCGAGGAACTTGACGACGGCGCGCAGCAGGTCGGCCGTGACGGGCTGCGCCGCGGGCGCGCTCAGCTCCACGTAGTACAGCATGCAGTGCAGCACCGACAGCACCGGCAGCTGCAGGTTGGCCGCGCCCTGCCGGAGCAACGCGCTCAGTCACCACCCAACATTTTGTTTTTATTTCTTTTTAACACTTTCATTTGTTATTACACAATATACTTTTTTTTATCCACAACGAGGAAGCTCGGGTGTGAAACGTGGAAGGTCACCAAGGTTATGTCGCACCAGCTGCAGGTCTTCATCAACCGCTGCCTTCGCCGAATTCTCGGCATATACTGATCAAGCGCCGCAAGTGGAACTGGATTGGCCACACTCTCCGAAGGGACCCCGATCACATCCCTAAGCAGGCTCTGGATTGGAATCCCCAAGGAAAACGCAAACGTGGTCGACCCAGGCAAACTTGGCGGCGCACTGTAGCGGACGAGGCGAAGAAGATCGGCAAGACCTGGAGGGCTGGAGCGAGATCAAGCGAGAAGCTCAAGACCGAACGAGATGGAGGACTGTTGTGGACGCTCTCTGCCCCATCTAGGGGACATAGGACCATAAGTCAAGTAAGTCAAAGAGGAAGCTATTGGCCTGTATCTCACCTGATGGTAAGTGATGATCAGGACGAAGGTGGAAGCGAGCTTCACCCGGAATCCTCAACCACGGAGGAACTGGCTATCTTACCTCTAACTGCCGGAACACAACAATGCTGTTAACATTGTTGTTATGGCGACAGACTTAGGTAAGATGGTGGTAGCTAGCCAGGCGGACTTAGAACAAGCCCTACCGCCAAACAAACGAACAGAAAAATATGCCCCCACTGGGAATCCAACCCGGGACCTCTGCGTCTGAAGCAGGTGGTCTTACCACTAGACCACAGAGGCGGTTTCTAATAATAAAAAGATACCAATAATCCCGTTAGCCCCACGTTTTCACTATTGTGGTGATCTCACTTGTGATACAAGCATGTATCATCACCACAATAGTCGAGTTGCGGCGGGGACTACGAGTCAGCCAGTCCAACCCCTTCACCGATTTGCTATCGTGGCTTCAATAATACCACGCCACGGTCAGTCAACAACATCAATCGTACAACATCATGGACTAGCCAGTCAAGAAACAACAACACTAAGAGTCGGTGACTGACCTGGTGTTTCTGCCTGACTGGTGACTGTGACCAGATAGGCAGAAACACCAGGTCAGTCATCAGTCACGCAACAACACCACAGTCAGTCATCAATGGCGCGCGACAACACCACGGTCAGTTACCAAATGTTCAATAACATCACGGTCAGTCACCAATCATTCAACATCACGGTCAGTCGTCATCAATCACTCTATGGCATTACGAAACATCAAGGAGCTTTGAAGATCGAAGGTATTTACGACAAGCACATTAATTTGTTGGACATAATAACCTTCCAGGAAGATAAGGTAATGAAATGAACATTACGTCTGTAATAGGCTAGATGACAAAATTTCAATTATTTGTCTGTCAGACAGATAAGAAAGTATTAGGCTGGGTAGTATCTTACTTTAGCTTTGACAAACGTCAAATTTTTGTCAAACTCAATACAACATACACCGGTTATCGTAATGGTGCGGCCAGACTGGGCGAATATGCTCGCGCGGCACGCTGGTCATCCTGCTCACTCTGCTCTTGAGTGAGCAGGATGTTGAGTTTACCGCGCGAGCATATTCGCCCAGTCTGGACGCACCATTATAGTTACGGTCAAAGTTAGGTGGTGCAACTCAGCCTTATGCCCGTTTTCACCATCAATCCCTATTTTTAAGTGACCCCTTTGAAAACTAAATTCCTGTTATGTATGTACCTACCTATTACCATTAGGTGTCACTTGAAAATTAGGGATTGATGGTGAAAACGGGCATTAGACTCGTATTTTTTATTTTCTTTCATAATTAAATAATAACAGTGCTACATCGAGTTGAAATGGCGCGTTACGTCACGCTTGAGTAGATTTTTTACTCAAAAGTGACTTCACGCGACATTTCAACTCAATATAGTTAATACTGTAATTATTCGATTATAAAAAATAAAAAATGTGTCCAATTTTTTTTATTTATCTGTCTGACGGGCTGAATAGTATTTCGACATCAACCCTATCATAACGTACCTTTTCGAGCACCTCGACGAGGAAGGCCAGCATTTGCATGGACAGGTGCGAGTAGGTGTCCCACAGGTACTTGACCACGCACTTGGTCCACTGGAAGCTCTCCTTGCTGAAGGTGCGGCGCGAGTACAGCGTCATCACTGTGCCGAGGTTCTCTAACTTCTTGCTCTTCTCTGCGGTGAACTGTTAACGATACAAAAAATGTAGAAAGGATGATGGGCACTTTTCTATGGAATCTGGGCGTAAAACCAACAGAAATGTAACTACTATTATTTGTTAGGACTTAATATCAGAAATATATTTTCATATAAATAACTATCAAAAACTCCCGGGTTTGCTTGGAAATTGACATAATGTGTAATAGTAATAGGTGCTTTATTGCGCAAACAAAAAATATTTTTAATTAATATACTTATCTACTCACATTTTAAATACATTAAGTTATTTATCCATTATTATGTCCAACAGTTCAGGAGTGGGGCCAACAAATGGTATATTTAAACCATGTTCTACATTATAAGTGTAGGACCATACCTAGGTACCATTTAGAGAAATGACATGAACACAGTCATGTTTCAATGGGATTTTTACCAGTTAAGTTGTAGTGTTGTCCCATAATCGATCACGGATCGATTATTAATCGATATTGCCAAATAACGATTTATCGATTAACAATTCGATTAATCGATTTTATTGATTACCATCATTACTATCATTTGATTGTTAATTCAATTCCTTATTTTCAGCAATATAATCGATTATTGCAATCGAATAATCGATTATGATTTATTCGGTATACATACTTACTAAATCGATAGAATCGATAGTAAGATATGATACGATACTCTCAATATGATCGATAAAAGCAATCTAATTGACCTAATACTATTTTTATTACCCTAATGTGATGTGAAATACTATGGAAACTTTGCATATTCAACGACCTCTATCTCCGTATCCCCGCGTATTTCAGGATTGTTGTCATACTATGAAATGAAGTATGAAGTAAATGCTTACTTAGTGAACTAATACTCCTAGAATTAATTAGAGATATCCTAATGGGAAGTAGCGAGTTATTCCCAATACAAGTGTCTCTGACTACTTACCGGGAAGACTCGGTAATAACTCTGTACAAGTATATTTGGAAATAAATGAATTTTTATTTATTTATTTATTTATTTATTTATATGAAATGAAGTACTAGTATTAAGCTTTGATTTAGTATACTTTTTGTTTCTGTTGGTTTAACGCCCAATATGCCCATCATCCTTTACGAATATCGTCAGTCTGGAACACTTAACTTTGTTTTTTTTTCTTTGCTTTAATGATACGTCATTATTTTGTGCTTTATTGATACAAATTGTTGTGTCTGTCCTATTAACGTCATGCCATGAAGTAATGAGGGTTTTCGCGAATGAAAGATCCGCTAGATGGCGGTACGTGGATGTGAGGTCTGACTGCTGCGTGATTGGTGGATTTTGACATAACTGTCAATGTCATGTCAAAAATAACCAATCACGCAGTATTTGGACCTCGCGTCTACGTATTGCCATCTGGCGGATTTTTCATTCGCGAAAACCGTCATTGTAAAATAAAGTTTTCGTTTGTTACTTGTTAATTAATTCTGTAATCTACAATGCCCGTGGAATTTGTGCTATCACGATGTATTTGTAAATGAGCTGGACCTGTTTGACCCGTTGCACACTTTTGCACCACACCCTTGTGCTTTGTGTAGCATTTGTATGCCACAGACCACGCAGGCAGATCTCGTCTGTGCTACGTATTGCACGCAAGCTTCAAGCTGCAAGTTTGTTTTACGCGTCATTTGATCCCGTTAGAATGACCGCGCAACTTGCACACACAACATGTGTCATTTATTGTGCGAGTGCTCGTATCATTCACACGGGAACGATGCATGACTTCACTGCCTGCTGCATCAGCATTTAATCTGCCTGTGATCCTCGCCCACTGTCTACTGCATCACCACTCAGCCTGCCCGTGGTCTACATCCAAACAACGTTTGCACCGCGTCCTACAATTTTTTGAACCATTTATCTAACTTTGTGCTCACCTGTTTTGTTTTGTGTTTCACTTTATGATTTGTCTCCATCAAAGTGATAAATACAGTGTGAGTCACGTTAAAGTGTACATATGAATTAAGGTAAAACTAGACCTATTTTTATCGTCAAAAAGAGGTAAAAAAAGTTTTGAGATTTTTTTTTATAGATTTTTATTCTTTCAATTACTTCATGCAAAAAAAAAGTAATAACTTTTTAACTAAGAGGTATATCCTGATAAAATAAAAGCAATAATAATGCTAAATAACAGGCAATACTAAAAAATACATAAAATACCCAGAAAATGCCGACAAATAATAAAAAAAAAATGATACTTTTTAAAAAAATCGGCTTAAAAATTGGTATTTATTTGGTTATTTGATAAATTTCTCCAAAATATGCCCCTATAACAGGTGGTTTTATTACTTTTTATTATTCTCTATCGTATCACTATTGTAAAACCAAAAATCGCATGTCTCTATCCCTATCACAACGTTTGCAATGATCGTTTGAACGAAGGCCTGCCACCACATTATTCTCCGCTATTATTTTTTATTTTATCAGGATATACCTCGTAGTTTAAAAGTTATTACGTTTTCTTTACGAGAAGTAAATGAAAAAAAAAATCTATAAAAAAATAAAAAAAATCTCAAAAAAAATTGACCTTTCTTGTCGATAAAAATAGGTCTAGTTTAATCTATTTTCATATGTACACTTTAACGTGACTACACACACACACTGTATAATGTTAATCAGTAAGAAAATGGTGTCAAAATTTGTGTCATAGCCTAACGTAACGCATGTGTTCCACATAGTGATGAAAGAACTCGAGTCTTTTAAGTTTTTTAAAAGAAACTCGACTCATTTTGACGACTTATGAGACTTCACAACTCAATCGAGTCTTTAAGTCTTGAGCCTTTTAGGAGTCTTCGACTATGATTTGAGTTGTCATATGATATGCATCTAGGAAGACTTATTTTATTTATTACTGTTTTTTCTTTCTTTTTGCTGTTTTTGGTTTAAATTCAAAGTTGTAATTACTGTATGTTATTGTATTGTGTAAATTTCACGGGTTGCTTACATTGTAATAATATGCATGCTGTGGTTATCGTTTGTGTGGGAGCAGTTAGCTAGAGACCTTTGGCTTAATTGTTTTTTTTTATAGTGTTTAATGCTGTATCTCATGATGTTAGCCCAATCGTTCGTTCGTTTCAGCCGAAAGACGTCCACTGTTCCCCCAAGGATTTCCACGAAGACCGATCCTGCGCCGCTCGCATCCAGGCACCTCCTGCAACCTTCACCAGATCGTCGGTCCACCTAGAGGGAGGCCTGCCCACGGTACGTCTTCCGGCTCGTGGTCGCCACTCAAAAAGTTTCCTGTCCCAGCGGCCATCAGCACTACGAGCTATGTGCCCCGTCCACTGCTACGATAGCCCAATAAAATAAATAAATATGGTGCCGTCCTAGGTGGACCCCACACTTGCATTTCACTAACCTATAATCTTTTAACATAAAACATTGCAGATGTTAATCCAAGCCCTGTGTCACGTGGTCCTGGCAAGCAGTCTCGCCAGCACGTGGCGCGTGGCGTATCCCACGCGTGGCGCGTGGCGTATCCCACGCGTGGCGCGTGTCGTGGCATACCTGCGCGATGTGGCAGGCGGCGCGCACGCACAGCTCGTTGGCGTCTTCGTAGTGCAGCAGCATGTAGGGCAGCAGCGCCACCACCGTCATCGGGAAGGCCAGGCTCTGCGTGGGGTCGATGACCGGCAGCTCCAGCAGTGGGATCATGTCCGCCAGCACGCCCACCACCGGCTCGTAAGTGTTCGGGTGCGTGCAGCCCTGCGGGGAGAACACACTTGTACGCTACTAACTTGTACCTTTCCCCCGGGACAAACTTGACCTTCATTGGTTGGGTTTTTGTGACGGTCAAGCTGTAGATCCTGGCTACACAGGAGTTGCAGTGGTGGGAACGAGAGGTGGGAATAGTCCCGTTTGTACGCCACTAACGTGAGGCTGGTTTTAGTGTCACGCGGACCGTCCGGTGCGGACCCGCTCCGCACGGCCAATCTGTGTGAACTTCTAGGGAGCGTTTTAGAGTAATGCGGTTCGGAGGAACCGCTTGCTCCCTAGCAGTTCATACAAATCGGCTGTGCGGAGCGATCCGCACTGACAGTCCGCGTGACACTAAGACCAGCCTAATAGGTATTGCATTAAAATAGAGATATCACACATCGAATTACAAAAAAAAAATTAACTAAAGTAACCTTTTAAAGATATTTATATTAACTATTTCCGTTTTATATTTTGAATCTGTCCATAGTAGACTCTGATGTTAAAAGTAAACTCTATCAAATGTAGACTAGTTAATGCCAGTTTTCACCATCAATCCACAACTTTTAAGTGACCCCTATGGTAACACATTACAGGAATTTTGTTTTCATAGGGGTCACTTAAAAATTAGGGATTTATGGTGAAAACGGGCATAAGCCGCTTTAACTTGATATGCTGTCATCTGTGCCTTCTCCTAACTCGTCGAATGTTCCAGCACTGACCTTCGCTGCTAGTGCCCCCTACCACGGTCGTCGCAGCCCGCTCGCGCAAGCTTCGTACCCGGAGGAGATGCCGTCCAGTGCTTCTGCTCCTAGTGCTGTTCAACGCGAGTAGATAATCCTTCTAGCACCCATGGTCGCTGGTCTCGGCGTCCCAACGACCAAAGAAGAGATACCAATAGAGCGCGAGTGGACAACGCCGCGGCAGGACCCATTACATGCTCGCGCTCACGCAGCAACCCGACAGGTACTCTGCACTGGCCCTCCGATGGCAGAAGCAGTGCCACCACTGTCCAGCCCAGCAGAGGCCCACACCACCATCGCCCTCTATACCCTCGTTCACGAGATGACGGAAGCACTGCGAGCAGTCTTGATCGGGGAAGCTGTTAAAGAGACGCAGCTCAACCTTAAGATACTCCGTCGGTAATGGCAGATATAAGAATGACTTACCCTTCCCTGGTATCTAGCACGCCCGCCCGCTGGTCGTTCACTGGGCCTCGACGAACGTCGAATCACCCGGTGGGCTTGTACCGCTCCGAGGGCGGGACAATGGTACTAGGGTCGACTTACAGTTAAAACCGTCGCACAAGCGATGTCCCCGACTCCGACCAGCTTTAGCTAATTGAGAAGAAGCTCGGGTACCGCGTAAGCTCGAGACCCCACACCGGTCACTGGTCGAAGAAACCTGGATCGATTGAATGGGCGAGAAGACGCACGCTGAGCAGAACTTTTTTTTTTATCCACAACGAGGTAGCTCTTGGCCTGTATCTCACCTGATGGAAACGAGCTTCACCCGGAATTCTCAACCACGGAGGAACTGGCTATCTTACCTGTAACTGCCGGAACACAACAATGCTGTTAACTTTGTTGTTATGGCGACAGACTTAGGTAAGATGGTGGTAGCTAGCCAGGCGGACTTAGAACAAGCCCTACCACCAACCAAACCGAACAGAAAAATCTGCCCCTTCTGGGAATCGAACCCGGAACCTTTGCGTCTGAAGCAGGTGGTCTTACCACTAGACCACAGAGGCGGCAGAGAGAACTCCAGCAGAGTTGCTGCAGTACTGACCTTGAGCAGCAGCGCGTGCAGCGGCAGGCGCGCCATGACGCGGACGAGCAGGCGCACGCCGAGCAGGAACTCGTGGTCAGGGTCGGACCGTGAGTTTAGGGGGCCCTGGGCTAATACTACTTAGGGGCCTACCTTATTAGATACTCAAAGTATAGAAAAATCCACGGGGCCCTGGGCTGAAGCCCAAAAAGCCATATGGTAGATCCGGCCCTGTTCGTGGTCCAACTCCAGCAGAGACACGCCCCCCAGTACTGACCTTGAGCAGCAGCGCTAGGAGCGGCAGGCGCATCATGACGCACGCCGAGCAGGAACTCGTGCTCGTAGTCCGACTCCAGTAAAGACACGCCTCCCCCCAGTACTGACCTTGAGCAGCAGCGCATGCAGCGGCAGGCACGCCATGACTCACTAGCAGGCGCACGCCGAACTCGTGCTCGTGGTCCAACTCCAGTAGAGACACTCTCCCCAGTACTGCCCTTGAGCAGCAGCGCATGCAGCGGCAGGCGCATCATGACGCGGACGAGCAGGAACTCGTGTTCGTGGTCAGGGCCGGACCCTGAGTTTAGGGGGCCCTGGGCTAATACTACTTAGAGGCCTACCTTATTAGATACTAAAAGTATAAAAAAATCCACGGGGCCCTGGGCTGAAGCCCAAAAAGCCATATGGTAGATCCGGCCCTGTCCGTGGTCCAACTCCAGTAGAGACACGCCCCCAGTACTGACCTTGAGCAGCAGCGCGTGCAGCGGCAGGCGCGCCATGACGCGGACGAGCAGGCGCACGCCGAGCAGGAACTCGTGTTCGTGGTCAGGGCCGGACCGTGACTTTAGGGGGCCCTAGGCTAATACTACTTAGGGGCCTACCTTATTAGATACTCAAAGTATAAAAAAAATCCACGGGGCCCTGGGCTGAAGCCCAAAAAGCCATATGGTAGATCCGGCCCTGTTCGTGGTCCAACTCCAGTAGAGACTCGCCCCCCAGCACTGACCTTGAGCAGCAGCGCATGCAGCGGCAGGCACACCATGACGCACGCCGAGCAGGAACTCGTGCTCGTGGTCCAACTCCAGTAGAGACACGCCTCCCCCCAGTACCGACCTTAAGTAGCAGCGTGTGGAGCGGCAGGCACGCCATGACTCACTCTAGCAGGCGCACGCCGAACTCTTGCTCGTGGTCCAACTCCAGTAGAGACACGCCCCCCAGTACTGACCTTGAGCAGCAGCGCGTGCAGCGGCAGGCACACCATGACGCGGACGAGCAGGCGCACGCCCAGCAGGAACTCGTGTTCGTGGTCAGGGCCGGACCGTGAGTTTAGGGGGCCCTGGGCAAATACTACTTAGGGGCCTACCTTATTAGATACTAAAAGTATAAAAAAATCCACGGGGCCCTGGGCTGAAGCCCAAAAAGCCATATGGTAGATCCGGCCCTGTTCGTGGTCCAACTCCAGCAGAGACACACCCCGCAGTACTGACCTTGAGCAGCAGCGCGTGTAGCGGCAGGCACACCATGACGCACATCGAGCAGGAACTTGTGCTCGTGGTCCAACTGCACCAGAGACACGCCCCCCAGCACTGACCTTGAGCAGCAGCGCGTGCAGCGAGGGCGCGCAGTGCGCCTGCGTGCGGTCGAGGCGCTCGCGCGCGTCGGGCCGGTCGAGCGGCAGGCGCGCCATGACGCGCGCGAGCAGGCGCACGCCGAGCAAGAACTCGTGCTCGTGGTCCAACTGCACCAGAGACACGCCCCCCAGCACTGACCTTGAGCAGCAGCGCGTGCAGCGAGGGCGCGCAGTGCGCCTGCGTGCGGTCGAGGCGCTCGCGCGCGTCGGGCCGGTCGAGCGGCAGGCGCGCCATGACGCGCGCGAGCAGGCGCACGCCGAGCAAGAACTCGTGCTCGTAGTCCGACTCCAGCAGCGACGCGCCCACCCAGAACAGTGTTGCCAGGATCGTCAGCTTGTCGTCCTGCGTGATCAGGTAATTAGTAATGATCCTTGGTTTTCACGCTTCAGGTTTTATTTAGAAACAGCGCCCACAGACATGCTAGCTGTAGCACGCGTGGAGTCGTCTACTTAATACGTGTTTTTGTCATTTGAGAACACTTCGGATATTTCTCACCATTTGTTTGACAAATAAGTCAGAGCATAGAATACACCGGGCACTTGGTGGGAGTGGTTACACCGGGAGCAAAGTTATCGTTTCGCTAGAGACATGTCAGACATTTCTCGTTTCAAATTAATAATTCATTTATTTCATTGTTTCTGAGTACATAATTATATTTTTCTATTCCAGGGTCGGAGACGGTTGGACGGATGTATGGTGACATCTGACGTGCCTCATGGATAATACACACGACTTTCCTTCGAAGCACGGATTGATCACGGCACGCATCAATCTTTGATCAGGTCGATAAAATATGCGACGTCTACATTTGCCATAATATTCGAGATTTGACACTTTCTTGCAATCAGCATCTCAGCATATTTACGCACTCTTGCGATATGCCGGCCGAGCAACGCTTATATTTTGGAAATATTGAAAAAAACTGGAGATCACCCCTTTGGAAAGTATTTTATTGCACAAAATGTAAGTGTGAAAAATATAAATTGTATGTAATAAGTAAGTTTTAAGGTTTAGTTTTTAAGTAATTATAAGATTTTTGTAAATATTTAAATGCACTTATATTTTGGAAATATTGGAAAAAACTGGAGATCTCCCCTTTGGAAAGTATTTTATTGCACAAAATGTAAGTAAGAAAAACATGAATTGTACACATTTAAATAAGTAAGTTTTAAAGTTTAGTTTATAAGTAATTCTTTTATGTAAATATTAAATACGCATATTATACAGGGTGTTTGCGGAAGGTTAGACAAACTTCGCGGGTGTATAGGTAAGGTCATTTTAAGAATACAAGTTCGCCCATTTCACCCTAAGTAAGCTACTTTTTTTTAATTGATATTTTTAAATTTTATTTAATTTTTTCCCAAACCATGTATGGAATGGACAGTGCCAATCCATGTATGGAAGTTGGACCAAGTGCTACCCAGAATGAAACCATAGTTCATTTTGTTCCTCAGACCAATACTTATTTGTAAAACGGATCGCACTGAATTCTATCGCTGGAGTTAAGAGAAAAAAAGAGTTTTGTTTTGAATTATTTACATACAAAATATCATCGATGTATGTATACGTACTACGCATAAGATTTCGCGATTGTGGCATTAAATAACACTCGCTATGTTGAACTTAACCATACTGCATCCTTACACCTTACTTTAGTACGACTTCGACATTCTTTATAAGAGATCAAGCGCTGTTGCAGGAGTTTGGTTAGTTGACAGAAATTAATTATTTCCAAAATGGAGCAAGAAGTTTTAGCTTACAATAACTTCGATTGTAATACACCAATAAATTGATTTTTTGTAAAGATAGAGAATTAAAACTTCTTGCTTCATTTTGGAAATAATAAATTTCTGTCAACTTACCAAACAATTAAAACAGCGCTAGATCGTTTACAAAGAATGTCTAAATCGCACTAAAGTAACGTGTACGGATGCAGTATGGTTAAGTTCAACATAGCGAGTGTTATTTAATGCTACAATCGTAAAATCTTATGCGTAGTACGTATACATCGATAATATTTTGTATGTAAATAATTCAGAACAAAACTCTTTTTTTCTCTTAACTCCAGGATAGATTTCAGTGCGCTTCGGTTTACACATTAGTATAGGCCTGAGGAACAAAATGCATTATGGGTTGATTCTGGGCAACACTTGGTCCAGACCCTGGCACTATCCGAACTGAAAACTGCTTCTTTTTTTTTCTCGCGTGTTTTCAACCGCTTTTTTACTTGACATTTATATCGAATAATATGTCTTTAGTCAAATAAAATAAATTTCAGATCCAGATAATGATTGGATAGCTAGTTACGTGTCGCCAAAGTTTAACAAAAGTACAAACCACGATAAAAAATTCAACTTAGAATTCGATTTAAAAAAAAAAGGTGACAATGGATTGCCAATGACTTTAAAACATCCCTAGCTTCTCTACTTTTTAATGATAATATCACATGTAGGAATTAAATATTAAAATTCGTCAAATATTCAAAGGGATGAAAATGGAATAATAATACAAAAATTATCCATACAAAGCTTCTTCAAGCATAGTTATATTTTCTGCTATACTCTTTTTCATAACTATTTTTGTGTGTTTTATTTCAAAATCGAATAAAAAATATTAACCACATTAGGAAGAAAAAAGTAAAAAAAAATTCAAAATTTACTTCGTATGGATAAATTTTGTATTATTATTCCATTTTCTTTCATAAACTTTGAATTTTTGACGAATTTCAATATCTAACTACTACGTGTGATATATAATTGGAAAGAAGAGAAGCTAGAGATGTTTTTAAGATCATTGGCAATTCATTATCACATTGATTTTTTTAATCGAATTCTAAGTTGAATTTTTATCATGGTTTGTACTTTTGTTAAACTTTGGCGACTCGTAACTACTATCCAATCATTATCTGAATCTGAAATAAAGATATATTCGATATTAATATCGAATTAAAAAAAGCGGTTGAAAACACGTGAGAATAAAAAATTGAAGCAGTTTTCTGGTCAGATTTGGGACTTTTTTAAAATAAAAACAAAAATATAAATTAAAAAAAAAGTAGCTCACTTAGGGTCAAATGGGCGAACTTAGTATTCTTAAAATGACCTTACCTATACACCCACGAAGTTTGTCTAACCTTCCGCCAAACACCCTGTATTTTGGAAATATTGGAAAAAACTGGAGATCACCTCTTTGGAAAGTATTTTATTGCAACAAATTTAAGTATGAAATACATAAATTGTATTTAATAAGTAAGTTTTAAAGTTTCATCAATATCATCATTTTAGCCACAGGACGTCCACTGCTGAACATAGGCCTCCCCTAATGACTTCAATTGGTAGCATTTTAAAGTTTAGTTTTTAACTAGCGGCCGCCCGCGACTTCGTACGCGTGGATCCCGTTTTACCCACTTCATTTATCTTACGCGGTCTAGATTTTTTCATACATTTTTTTTTCCCGCTAACTCCCGTTCCCGTCGGAATTTTGCAATATCCTGTTGTAACTAAGCTTTAAGTTTACTAAGGTACCTGCATGCCAAATTTCAAGCGTCTTACTTAAGCGGTTTATATTTTTCATGCAAAAGGATTTTCCTGCTAATTCCTGTTCCCGTGGGAATTCCTAAGTATCCTATAACCTGCTCAGGAGTATGAAGAATAATTGTACCAAGTTTCGTTAAAATCCGTCGAGTAATTTTTGTTTCTATAAGGAACATACAGACAGACAGACAGACAGACAGACAGACAGACAGACAGACAGACAAAAATTTTACTGATTGCATTTTTGGCATCAGTATTGAGCACTAATCACCCCCTGATAGTTATTTTGAAAATATATTTCATGTACAGAATTGACCTCTCTACAGATTTATTATAAGTATAGATTAATTGTAAGTTTTTTGTAAATATTATATACGCTTATATTTTGGAAATATTGGAAAAAACTGTAGAGCAGAAACCTACGGTGAATTTTAATTTCTCGAGTTAACATTGTTAAAATAAAATTGTAAAGGAAAGGTTAACTTTTATTGTAAGTTCAGATTAAGATTTTATTTTCGAAAAGATTTTAGTTTTTTTTTTCTTTCACTATAATCAAAAGTAATGATATCGAATTCAGCACACGAGTCTGAAATCTTGATAAAGTTTCGAAAACATGTCTCTTACCTCCTTTACAGTAGGTAAGCTGGTAGAATAGCAACTACAGTCTCACACATAATGTATGGTTTAGCAATATACGAGTATGACGCTTAAATGATTGTTACGATGCCTAGTTAAGACAGTGTCTAGCGATAGCAATAATTTGTAACACTCCCAAATAAACATGAACTATAATATGTGTACGAGCATTTTATTCAAAACCCGAACACATCTAAAAAATACTTGTAGAAGCCAATGATTATAATTATAAATGGTCAATTAAAAAACGAGCCACCGAAAGTTTTAGCACATTAACATTTTATTCCTTTACATGAATGAGATCTAACTACTATTCGAATGACTAAATATTTAAGACTGGCTGATTTGGTCTAAGCGCAAGTCTATTTAAGACATTTTTTACACCTCCAAGTACCTAAAAATTCATAAACCCATAAAGCAAGGATATTATTATTGTATTATTAATGAAACGTAAATACTGGTGCGTGTCGGCCAAATAACTGTTTATAAAATCATATTAGGTGGCTCGATTTCCTTGTCAGTCAGTGTACACTAGCATGAATTACCCGGGCGGCGGGCACGGCTATCAGCCGATCTTCTGCGAACTTGACCTATTTATTATTACAATGCGAGGATACTAATTAATCTGCGATGATAGCAATTAACATTGTATTGAATAATGTTGCTATTAATAAATGACAACCTCTGCACGTTCAACGTTGCAAATAGGTAACATATTACTCAAAACGTAGGCCTAGGATGCGCGCCGCGATAAGCAGTTTTCACACCATTTTATCGATTTTGCCCATACATTTTAAGGTCGATAAGAGTATATCACGGTGCGCATCCTAGCCAGCCTGATCATCACTTTCCATCAGTAGGCCTAAGATGCGCGACGCGATAAGTGTTTATCACGCCATTTTATCGATTTCGCCCATACATTTTGACGTCGATAAAAGTTATCACGGTCACGCATCCTAGCCCGGCTGGAGGTTAAAAAAGAAGTTAGGTAAAAAAGAATCTACTATCATCGAAAGTAAAGCTGTATCGGCTGGAGATATATGATAGGTCAGGTTGCAGAAGACGTGAGTGCTACGTGATACAAGGACAGAGGGAGTTAGTACTTCGCAGCTTGAGGCCTGGCCGGCCCCTACCGGGATCACGCTGAGTGACGAGGGAGAACGCCCTTGGCTGCGGGATTTCCTCGCCTATGATTTAAACAAGTGAATTCACAATAATCTAAACAGGTAATTCTCTAACAGTTCAAGTTAGAGTAGTTAGAGTCAAGTAGTCAAGTTAGAGTCTCGAGTGACTCGTGTGTAGGCAGAAACGCGTATTGAATATAAAACGTGGTGCACACCAGTTAGCAGTTTATGCATGAAAGACATAATCTGTATGTTGAGCTATTAATTTAAATATTTAGCATTATAATGCGTTTGATACTGTATCAAGTGACCACCATGCTTTACATAATTTTTAGTAAAATTGCAATGTTACTTTTTTATTAACACATTTTTATTTTTAAGAAAGTTAAAATATTCAAATTAATTCTTGCGTACATAAGTGACTATCGCCCGTGTTCACAAACGATGCTTGTTTAAATGAAGCAGCAAATCGAATGCACAGCGTTGAATAGAGCACTGTGATTGGCTATGTGTCACCTTGTGCGTACACTCCACATATTAATGTTTGTGAATAAGGGCGCATGTCTCATACAAAAATAGTACGGCCCGTATAGAGCACGTACGGGGTACGTAAGGGACACATCCCGGACCGGCCACTAATGCCCGTTTTCACCATCAATCCCTAATTTTTAAGTGACCCCTATGAAAATAAAATGCCTGTTAGGCTGGTTTTAGAGTCACGCTGATGCACGCTGACCGTCAGCGCTGACAGCCGAAATGTATAAAGCGTCGTCGCCGAGCGATCAGCGTCCGTCACTCAGGAACGTACCCTTCAATGAGGGCAATCGTTTCACCAGTTTGCGCCACTGTAGAATAAGGTCCTGTCACTTGCTAGTAGCGAAGACAGTGGCACCAACTTGTGAGCGCTAAAGTGGTAGGAGGACTATCGCATTTGCACTCATCAAGATGGCGCCACTGTAGAGTAAGGTCCTGTCAATCGCCAGGGGTGCCAACTGTTAAGTATAAAAACGATAGCCCTCATTACATACATATTGATCCGTCAGCGCCGATGCTCAGCGAGCGGTCAGCGCGATTCTAAAACCCGCCTTAAGTGTTACCATACGGGTCACTTTAAATATGGGATTGATGGTGAAAATGGTCATTAGCCACATTAATTGCTATCCTCCTAGGGTTTTTTTTAGTCTGGTAGTTTATTACCAGATAATTAGTGATAAATGTAGATGTTGATTTTCTTAAATAGCGTTTTTTTTTAGAGAGAGTGGAATAGTTTCTCGCTATTTTGTACGAGCAAACTGTAAAAGTAGTATGAGTGCACTTACCTGAGTGGCGGAGTCTCCAAGCAGCTTGAGGGACTGCGCGGAGCGCGACCGGCACAGGTTGGAGCACGCGCCTTTGGCCGCCTCGCTGCAGGGCCGCGTGCGGTCTGCACAACCCACACGCGTCACAACTTGGCTCGGTGTTTACCAAAGCCGAGAGGAGACCGGACAAGAGATGTGTTTTGATTAATCAATCAGATTTAAAGTCTGGTCTGCTAGCACGTAGAATTTTGTCCAATGACTGAAAGCTACCCATCCTTATCGCTCGCACGTAATTATGTTGCTGTCGCGCTTGCACACTCCCTGCCCGTCGCACCGTCGCGACAGCAATATAATTACGCGCGAGCGATAAGGATGGGTAGCTTGGGGTCATTGGACAAAATTCTACGTGCTCGCAGACCAGACTATAGTTACAACCACAGTCCACATCGCCTCTCCATTTTCTTTACAAATCTATATTAATTGGTTATTCAAAACACATTTCCTCTCCTCTCTGCTTTGGCGAAGACCGAGCTTTAGACAGTATTCATCACAAGATGTCAGTCAGTTAAAACGGGGCAGTATTATTAGTATGATTGTCCACGGTGATTGGCAGATGGTGGCATGTGCAAGAAACTGGTATGCGATTGTAACAGTTGCTGGCGTGAGTATCGCCTTAATTTTAGGACTTGTCAGGTTTCCAATAAGGGACGCTTTCCTTTGCATTTAATCTCCTCTAGTCGTAATTATACTTGAAAATCAACAATAAAGGGGTTAAGTGAGATACAGTCTAGAATTGTACATCTGCCCTGTAAGTGCCTATTCACTATTGCCTTGAAAAGGCCCGGATTATAGTCCTTAGGAAATAGGATAAAAATGTGTGATAGGATGTGAGTAAACTACACACACACTCACTTTCACACACATAACACACACACAACACAATTGTGGAACACACACAAAACAACTTTATCCCTAGAAAAAACTTAAAACCTTTCCGCAAAATGAAGTTAAGACCCATTTTTTTTAATTGCCACTTGTAAATGTATCACTATTAGCCAATTACCCAATTCTCGCATAAGACCTATAGAGAAATGGGAGTGGCTGAAAATCAGCGCAGCCTGAGTATCCTCAGGCAGCATTAGCTGAGCCACCTCCAATTGCTTCCTTATACTATGTCAATCAATGAACAACATTATTGTAACTAAAGCCTGGTCCGTGAGCACGTAGAATTTTGTCCAATGACCCCAAGCTACCCATCGTCGCTCACTGACAGCGGGCGCGCGTCGCACAGTCGCGACAGCAATATAATTACGCGCGAGCAGCGATAAGGATGGGTAGCTTGGGGTCATTGGACAAAATTATACGTGCTCACGGACCAGGCTTTAGCTAAGTAAGTTGTAGAAGCCATAAAGGACATTATGTATTGACTTATTTATTGAACTGACCGTGTTGATGCTTGTCCGGCGCCGCGGGCGGGTTCTTGCGCATGCAGTACGTGACGGAGTAGCTGGTGCTGCGCGTATGACTTCCTACGCAGCCCACGCACACACCGGGCGAGCGCTTGCCTGCAAAAACAAAAACATTTTATTCAATTTAGAGTAGGCGCACACCGTTGATTTTTCGTCGGCCATAGTTTAGTCGGGCAGTTGATCAGTATGGGCATGTATGGGAGTGCGCACACTACGCCGATTCGATTTGGCCGATTCTTCATACAAATTAAAATCGGGCACAACTATCGGCCAACTAAAAATCAACGCCCACACGTTGACGCCCACACGTGTACTCTTCACCCATTTGCATTGTAAAGACAATAAACTATGCATGTGAAAACGATGGTGTAATTAATACTGTGCAGTATTTTAATTGCCTGAATAATACCTAATAATAATAGAAACACGAAATATAATTCATGCTTATTCGTGTATTTTCTCCGTCATTTTCCTCAGTTTGGCACCTCACGTCACAAATCATTATTTATTATTTATTTATCATTTTACCGAAGTCAGCCCTCTGGCTTCGCCGCAGTACCGATCACTGGCGTTTGTCAACAAAATGGTGTTCGACTCTTGAGACAACCTAAATTACACCATATTGATAACGACATTGACATACATTTTTTTAAATACCTTCGCGAAGAAAACCTTCTGTACGTAGTACTTATTATTATTCTGTGCCACAAGTGGTACTCATGAACGTCAAAATATAGTACATTTTTTTTTATGCTAGCCAAGGCAGGTATTTGATCGCAATCGCACCTGGTGTTAAGTGAGATGCAGTCTATAGTCTTTTTCACGTAAGATGATCCGTATGACACTTCAAGGTTATCCATATTACGCATAATACATAAATGCAGAATATTTTTGAAAAAATATTTGTATTTTATTAGCAATATAATAAAAAAAAATAACTACCTTGTCTTGAAATATATAGTAAAATCTGAGTCTATTGATTATATTTTAATTAAATACGATGTAAAAATATCATTTATTTCATGTACGCAATGTGTGAAACGGAATAGATTTAGTGCTGGGGTATTTCTTGTATAATAAAATCGATTATATCCGCGGTTCATTAATCGATTGCAGTGAATACTTAGTTATTAAAAACATCACAAAAATCAACTATATTTTTCGATTATTGACTTTAATAAACGCATTAAAAATAAATTAATGGTTTTTAATTTAAAGAAACAGAACCAGTACTTTTTAGGTATCGTTTTTTTGAACATGAACCATGAAATTTGAATATTATCAACAAAAAATTGTTACAATAATATTTGTTTAGTTATGTGACATCTCTAAATCTTTCAAACTCGAAACGTCATACGGATCATCTTAGGTGAAAAAGACTATAGGATGGTACATATCTGCCCTGTAAGTGCCTATTCACTCTCGCCTTGAAAACGCCCGGATTATAGTGTTCAGGAAATACAGCAGCAGGCAGCGAATTCCAGTCCCTAGCTGTTCGCATTATAAAGGAAATTAAAAAAAGGTAGCTCTTATGGGGCACTTTACATGTCTCCTTTTCTTGTGGGCCCTACCAGCGCTTCGAGACAAACATATGGCAAGTGCTGAGAAGAAACGTCGGAACACGGACGACACCACATGCTCACACATTTGAACTTGACACTTCGTTTCGGTCAAATGAGATCCACTGCTGGACCAAAGCCTAGGACAGATGGACAGAAGACTAGGCTTGGACAAGCACCTCCCGCGACCTTCACTAGATCGTCGGTCCATCTAGTGGGCCGGCCCACACAAGGTCTCAATTCTCAACAAAATAACTCTGTCGGGCTATGATAACATCTTATTGACGATTTAGATGACAAAAGTATGGGTTTATCGTCCAAAATCGACAAAATGCCTCGCTAAGTTTATCGTGGCGCCCATTTTAGCCCTACTAGACTCCAGATCAGTCCCAAGAGAATAAGACATACTCAATCCTATGCTATAGTGCGAATTTATTCTTTTCTCGATTAGGTACGGACGACAGCACATCAACCTAAACACAGTGGCGTCTTACCTTGTTGTAATACAGGCTATTTTGCTACAAAAATGTATAGGTTGATGTGCTGTGGACTGTACAATGGTAAAAATTATCATATTTTTTAATTAGAACAGTTCTCGAAATGCTATCATAGAAACAGTTAGATATTAGAAACGGAAAGACACTAGAATTAAATTAATTTTTATTGGAAGCCCCAAATATTGATGGAAATTTTTAAACCCTTATATTTTAAGTTTATGATTTATTATTAGGTTAAATAACAAAAAAAAATCTTACCAGCAGCAAAAGCGTTCCCATTCGGCTGCGGCCCGCCGTCCTTGTTGTTTAAATTGGGCGTCGACTTGAATATGTCCCTCATGTAGTCGAGTGGTCGGAAGTTGGACTCGAGCGAGTCGACGGCGGCTTCGAGCGTGAGGAGTAGTTCCGTGACGTAACCCTGCATATCCTCGCCTTGCTCGGCGACCGTCTCCACGAGCCGGGACAGGATGTCGGAGACCATGCGGCCTGTCATGGCCACACCGATGAAACGGAACACCTGTGAGTAGATGGGAGGTTTATTTTTCTGTTTAGGCTCGATTCGACCAAACTTTTATCCGAGAATAACTCGTTTAAAGTTCCAAAATACTGAACTGTCCTATTCATGACATTGACAGCGTGGCGCCACCGTCAATACAGGATCGCTGGTTCCGATTTTTGCCATGTTGGAAACCTTAAAGTTGAACGACGGTACGCCCCCTTGTCATTGAGTTTGGTGGGACAGTTCAGCGTGGGTCATCTATAACTGGCACATTGACAGTTTCAGTATGGAAAATATGTCAAAATGTCGAATAACTAACGATTTATTGTGAGATTAATATTTACTTTGGTTTGGTCGAATTAATAAACAATAAGTACAATGTTGCCGACTTGATATTCTTTCAAAATTTATACTAACACTAGCTGACCCGGCGAACTTTGTTCCGCCTTAATGGCAATAAATAAGCAGACTTTTTTTTTATTTCGAACGGGATAAAAAGTATCCTATGTCCTTCTCCTGGCTCTAAACTACCTCCCTGTCAATTTTCAGCTAAATCGGTTCAGCCGTTCTTGAGTTATAAGTGGAGTAACTAACACGACTTTCTTTTATATACAGTGTGAGTCACGTTAAAGTGTACATATGAAAATAGATGAAACTAGACCTATTTTTATCGACAAAAAAGAGGTCAAAAATTTTTTGAGATTTTTTTTTATTTTTTTATAGAATTTTTTTTCTTCCAATTACTTATTGTAAAGAAAACGTAATAACTTTTAAACTAAGAGGTATATCCTGATAAAATAAAAACAGTAATAATGCTAAGTAACAGGCGATACTAAAAAAATACATAAAATACACAAAAAATGCCAATAAATAATAAAAAATGATACTTTTTGAAAAAAATCTGCTTAAAAATTCGTATTTTTTTGGTTATTTGATAAATTTCTCCAAAAAATGCCCCTATAACAGGTGGTTTTTATTACTTTTTATTATTTTCTATCGTATTAATTTTGTAAAACCAAAAATCGCATGTCTCTATCCCTATCACAACATTTGCTATGATCCTTTGAACAAAGGCCTGCCACCACATTTTTCTCCGCTCCAGGTAGAGACAATTTTAACCCTAGATAGCTAACCTTCCGGCGTACCCTGTTTAAGCTAACCATCCGTCGAAACGACGGGTATTAAAAAAACATTATTTTTTGGATGAAGTAATTAAAAAAATCTAAGTCTTGTTTACAGTTTGGTTTCTTCATATGNGCGCTCAAATTCGAAGTTTTTCAATGTTTTTTATAATTTATCACTTCACTGCACTTAAGAACACAAAATAACACCAAATTTGTACACTAAAGTCCATTAAATAATAAATTGAAACCATTAAAACAGATCGACCATGCTTCCCGTTCAACTACCCTCCACGGAATCCAGACAAACATTACTATAGTCTATCCAATATAGCTTGATTAGAATGACGGCTGTCAAACGAATGTGACTAGTGCTGGGTATGTTTCGTACGGTTCACATAGATACATATATGATATCATATTAATAAGAAAATATATTGAAAATTTGACATGTAATAAACATTATGAATAAATTTTTTTCCCTTATTCTTATATGTAACGATAAGTTTTCGAAAAAATGATATAAAAAAATGCACCCAATTTTTCTTCATATCTTTATTCATAAAAATGACAATTATGATTTAAATTGAAAGACAGTAAAATTTAAAATTCATGTCAAGGGTGTACAACCTAAGTCGTAGTCATTATCATCAGTGTTCTTCAGTGGTTTTTTCCTCTCGCTAGAGGGCGGTGGGCATCTCTTCTAGAGCAACGGTGCTATGAATACCATTATCATCAGTGTTTTTCAGTGGTTTTTTCCTCTCGCTAGAGGGCGGTGGGCATCTCTTCTAGAGCAACGGTGCTCTATGAATACCCAAAAAATTACCGGTGATTGATTTCCGATGTTTGATTATTTATGAATGAAATGTTTTTTGGTTTTTAATAGTGAACATTGAGAAAAACGTATAACTTGACTTAAATATGTTAAAAAAATAGTTTTAATTTAATATGACATTTGTCGATATGTCCCAACACTAACATTTTTGTAACTCGAGATAACTTTGTAGAGACGTCGTTAATACTCTAGCTTGATTTTTATAATTTCGAATTACTACTTATGGGTGTAATTTAACGCTGCATTTACACGAAATTAACATTTTTATTGGAAGCACTGTCGTCGAAAATATTGTTTGTAGGTCAGACGTGAATTATTTCTTGTCCGCCAATATTTAGCTCTCATTGATCGCTACTACAAAGTTATGTCGTTACTTTTGATGGCAGCTGTCATTCTAATCAAGCTATATTGGATAGACTATAATACCAAAGCCTGGTCGCCGTAGCGACCGCGCCATAGCACGTGTAGAATCCGCTAGAATTGCTGTCGCGACTGTGCGACGGGCGCCCGCAGTGAGTGTGCGAGCGCGACAGCAACATAATTACGCGCGAGCGATAGGGATGGTTAGCTTGGGGTCATTGGACGGGATTCTACGTGTTCACGGATCACGGACCAGGCTTTATAAATGTCAGTGAAATTATACAACAAACTTTCTGAACACAGAAAAACCGGGCCTTACATTAAACGCTTCTCTAAAGCCCTGAGACAATATTTAATACTTAATTTTTTCTACTCAGTTAACGAATATTTAACAATCGATCACCGAAAATAGGAAAATGTGTACGCAATGTGAAAACACGGAACCCTACTTTCAACTAATGACGTAAAGTTACCGTGTCTGAACTGGATCTATTGTTTAGCTACCTACTTTATAATCTAATTTACCTAATTTAAAAGCGCTGATATCCTAAAGCAATAAATGATTAAGCATTCATGTCAATCAGTCAGTAGTTAAAATAAATAAAATAAATATCCTTGGACATTTTACACTGCGCTTCTAGTCCCAAACTAAGCATAACTTGTACTATGGGTACTAGACAACGGATATAAACATACTTATTTTTTTTGTATATACATACATATTATACATAGAAAACACCCAGTCCAATATAAACAAATATGTTCATGCACACAAATGTTTGTACTGTGCGGGAATCGAACCCGCAACCTCCGGTATAGTAGTCCGTTTCGAACCACTACACCAAACGGCCGACAAAGTCGGTTTACCTTTAGCCGTGATGTCTTCGTACTGCCACAGCGGCATATGCGAGGGCCTGTTCGCCAAGAAGTGCACCAGCGACTTGATGAGGTCGGCCACGGGCACTTCGGCGGGCTCCGGCGCGCCGGTCCCGCCGCCGCCGCTCGCGCCGACACCGCCGCCGCCGACGCCAGGCGCGTCCGTCTCGCGAGCCTCCTCCGGCTCGTTGGTTACTATCACCGGCAGCGACGGGTAGTTGTCGCCGTCCGCTGGAATATTAAAAAAAGAAATGAAAATGAAAAAATATTATACAGGGTGTTAGGTAAATGGGTATATGAGCCGACACTAGCCCATGTTAACATGGTCATATAAATGGTATGGTGAAGTCAGAAAATTGATATCTTCATTTGAACTATTTTAATTTTCATACAAATCGGATTTTGTAAAATTTACTTTGTATGAAAATTAAAATCATGATATCAAATTTCTGACTTCACCATACTATGTTAACATGGGCTAGTGTCGGCTCATATACCCATTTACCTAACACCCTGTATATCTTGAAATAATATAATATCTTTAAATAGTAGGTACATTTTGTTTCAAGTGGCTGGGGTCTCCTTTTATGTATAATACCTGTGTTAGGAGGCCCAACTTTTTCTTAAAGTTCAAAGATACTTGTTTGTGTAACACAAAACCAATAAAACTCACAAGTAATTACTAGTGCAAGAACAACGAATAACTGGATAAACTAATTACTAATGTAGCTAATAACCTAGGTACCGAAATTAACTATTTGTTGCTTAGCAAAAGCAACGCCCATCACAGGATAGAAAGTGTCCCGTGCTGATATGACGTGTGCGTGATAACAATTCAGTTTTACAAAAGTAAAACATTTTTTAAACTGGAACAGTGGATATTAAAATCAACTGGAACAGTAGATTTTTTCTGTTTGCGCTACAAGCTTTCGAAATTATTTGAACCTTGAATACAATAATTTTAATTTTAGTATACTGCATTTCAGAATAAAAGCCTGTTTTTAAAAAGGTTATTTTTTACTATACACTTTTTAGTTGTTTCCCAATCTCAGGGCCCTGGTCATTATTTAGCACCAAAGTGCTCGGAAAGACGAATTAAACGAACCCAAACCACAGAATAAGTAATAGTACAGGTACAGAAGGATTACTCCGCAAGACGATTTAAATAAATGCGAGTATTGCTACGACGCGATACAGTGGAATTCAGCTCGCACAGCACTACGTACCTACAATTTTATTCACCTACAAGTTTTGTCTCTTTCTATCGCGTGCCTCTGAACTCTTCTTACGTTGTTAGGGTTGCTGTCTAGTGAAAAATTAATTAATCTACTTATATGTAATGAGGTACGTATGTAGGTAAGTACGCATTCATTATGGAAAACCTTGGGAGTGGCCTTTGTCCAGCAGTGGACGTCATTTGGCTGAAACGAACGAACGCATTCTGAGCAGTAGTCATGGTAGGTTAGGTTCCATACTATCCTAAGAATTATTGATTACCTACATGACCAACATACCTTTCAGCATCTTTGGGAAGCGAAAAAAAAGATAAATCCGGTGTAGATTTCTTTTCGAATTTAAACACCCGAACCCCGCACAATATTTATTTCTCTTTATGTCCATTTTTAAATAATACTTCGATCATAGAATTAGGTACATACTACAACGCACGCCAGCGTCCTGTCGTGCGCGCGCGTGACACTCGACTGATATAATACCCGCCGGCGGGGCGCTTCGCTGTAGGTAATTATCGGATGTACCGCGCGGAGTGAGCCAGGCCTGCCCAAACTCGATAAGATTCCGCCGTTTCGTTTAGGAGTTCCTATGGCCACCTCCTGACTCCATCATCCGGACCCTGGACATCATCTCGCACTAAAGTTCTCAAAAAGACAAATCCAACAAACCAAACCCAAACTCGATGAGTTTCCGCCGTTTCGTTTAGGAGTTCCTATGGCCACCTCCCGAATCCATCATCAGGACCCTGGACATCATCTAGCACTAAAGTTCTCGAAAAGACAAATCCAACAAACCCACACTCGATGAATTTCCACCGTTTTGTTTAGAATTTTCTATGGCCACCTCCCGAATCCATCATCAAGACCCTGGACATCATCTAGCACTAAAGTTCTCGAAAAGACAAATCCAACAAACCCAAACTCGATGAGTTTCCGCCGTTTCGTTTAGGAGTTCCTATAGCCACCTCCCGAATCCATCATCAGGCACCTGTACATCATCTAGCACTAAAGTGCTCAAAAAGACAAATACAACGAACTCAAATACGATGCGGTTCCGCCGTTTCGTTTAGGAGTTCCTATAGCCACCTCCTGACTCCATCATCAGACCAGCTCAATGATACCATAACATTACATTGTCATCGTACTTACATAAATATACCAAATTTCTGGTCAATCGGTTGAGGAGAACTGGTCTTAAATTCAATTGCAAGATTTGTCCCACAGTAACTAAACTAACTTGTAAAAATGACGACAGACACCAGACATGTGAAAGTAATAAAAAGCTTGTAATAAACAAATATTTTGATATACTCATGATACAGAAAAAGAAAGTTATCACGTATAGTTGCAATTTGGTCAACTAAATAACTAAATGTCGTTTACATTATAACCTTTTATAAATTATAAATAACTTATAAAATCGAACTGCCTATAGCGGGAATCGAACCCAAGACCTTCCGCTTACCGGAAGAATGCTCTTCCAACTGAGCTATTATTATAATAATAATAAAATTGGCAACACCTTGCAATTTAACGCTGCTTAAATAATAATACTGTAAACTTTATCAAAATACAAACAATATATTTTTTGCGTGAAAGACTAACAAACCTGCATTAAACCATTCTAACAAACTTAAAAAGATAATAAGATCAGTAATTTGTATTGCACAAAACAATTATTTAATTTAGCATAAGCATGTAGCCGCAGCCAGCTTGAGTATTTTTCAATCACAAAAGTGATTTGAAATCACCAAAGCTGTACTGAGGTAATGCTATATATGTTTTTGAAGCACACCCGTGGTATAGGTGTGCTTTCCAAAAATTTGAACAATTTCTTCTAAAATAAAAAACTTATAGCATCAAAGTCAACCTACGGTGTTATAAAATCAGGAAAATTCAAAACGAACCGCGAGCTAACGAAGGATAGCGCCATCTGTGAGTGAACGGACAAGACGTCTGGTCTACGTGGAATGCCGCGCGTGTACGGATCTAATGGCGGCACTGGCGTGACGCAAGTACACAAGCGGGAAAATGACCGAGACGAAGCGCGAGCTCGCATATTATGGAATCGCGAAGTATGGGCTACGTACGGCGAAACTAGCCGAAGTGCGTGTTCACACTATTACATTTCGACCAAGCAGATAGTGTGATCGCTTAATGAGCAGATATTGTCCGCATATTGAGTAGATGAAAAGTGAAATACGATACATACAGTGCAATGTATTCATTATTTTAATGTACGATTTACTTAAAGGTTATAAAGTTGTTTATATGAGCTACTTCGTAATATAATAGTTTGTGATAGACTGACTTGGTGACGTAAACTTAATCGAAACATTCTGTTTCAATATACAATAAAGAACTTACATACTTACTTAGTAAATAAAGTCATTCGTCGTGGAAAAAATATGTTATTATTTCGATATTCGATAATGTTGTAAATTTGCGATTGGTAATTCGTCATTTCATACTTTTTTACCTGCATAAATCGTACTTAATTCAGTAGTACAGACGAAATAAGTGTCTTGGTAGCTATAGATATCCTACAAAAAACCGTCCAGCTATGAAATTTTTCAGGAGGGCGATAATGTTTGTGTTAGGTTGAGTTGCACTACTTTATTTTAACTGTGACAATAATTTTTGTATGGAGTTAGACTTTTTGATGTTTGTCAAAGTTACAGCAAGCTGGTGCAACTCTGAATAAGTATGTTTTTTGTGATTTGGTTGTTATAAAATGTCATTTACAGATCAATGGTGGTACAGAAAATTGAGTTTTTTTTTAATGTTTGTTGCGGCGCTTCTTCTCAGCACTTGCCAAATGTTTGCCTCGAAGCGCTGGTAGGGCAAAAAAAGAATGAGACATGTATAGGCTCCTTAAGAGCATTTGACGATTTGCAAGTACTAATTTAATTAGTCTAAACAAATAAAGAAAATTTTGAAAATTTTGATTTTGAAATGAAAATAAAATTGCTTTATTTCTTTGAATTAAAATTTGATTTTAAATTTTGTGTGTGTTTGTGCGTTTTACCACAGAATAATAATAAGTACTACGTACAGAAGTTTTACTTCGCGAAGGTATTTAAAAAAAAATATGCTCAATGTCATTAACAATATGGTGTTATTTAGCCTGTCTCAAGAGTCAAGCACCATTTTGTTGACAAACGTCAGTGATCGGCACTGCGCCGAAGCTATAGGGCTGACTTCGGTAAAATGATGTGACGTGAGGTGCCAAACTGCGGAAAATGGCGGAGGAAATACATGATTTAGCACGAATTATCATGAATAATATTAACTACTTATCTCTCAGTGTCTTGAGGCAACTTAAAAAATTACATTATGTGTTTTTATTATTATTTAGGCAGTTAAATACTGCACAGTATTAAGTACACGATTTTCTTTATTTTCTTTCATCATACACAAGAATACGCGTGCGTGAGTCAATTCGCTCGTATGTGAGGCCTTGTCGAATATTATCCTGTAGGTGGGCCATCGTGCGTGTTTTGTTTTCGATGTAAGCTCGCGGAGATGAACAGGCCTGGTTTTACCTTCGGGCGTGACCTGCGGGTCGGAGCTGAGCGAGCGCGCGTGCGAGCGCGGCGAATGCGCGCACGCAGGCTGGCTGTCGAACGCCGCGTCCGGCTCTGCAAGCGACGAGATTGCACGTTACTACGACAGTTAAATACACAGCGGGAAGAGTGGTACAGACGATTGTTTTAACTTCTATTGTACTAAATACCTTTACGACAGTCAACGACAGTTAAATACACAGTGGGACAAGTGGGACAGATGACTGTAATTGAATTTCTATTGTACTAAATACCTTAAGAATCTGAGGTTCGTTCGCTCCAAACGTCAGACGAAGGAAACAATATTTGGTTTCATACGTTCACTGCTGGATAATGGCCACCTCCAAGTGTACGGGCGGGAGGCAGTGGTTGTAAGGCACCGCTCCCGTGCCCGGGATATGCGGTCAGGAAGGGAACTAACTCCCTAGGGAGCCTAGAGTCCCTATTCCCTAAGACACTAAGTCCCTAGAGCCCTAGCCCTGCCTAACAATAGTTACATAGATATAATAAGTGTTGAGAGGAAGGAGGCTGTGCCCAGGTCGCCCAGGGCAGCAGCGTTAGGACGGCAGGTAGGCGGCGGGGACCCGCTGCCAGCCCGGCAGACTCACCGGACTGATCATAGCGACGGCTAAGGGTGTCTTGGCCGCAGCGGGGGGAAATGAGACACAACGACGGACGGTTGATATCTGATTTATTGGTATTAACTATTGCTATTTATACATGGTTTATTGTTTGTACACATTTAAAGGTATTTGTTAGTGTGCCGTCGTTGTAGAGTGCCGACGGTGCACGCTGAGGGTTCATGGGTCGCCCGGCGGTCAATGCTGACGGTGCAGCAGGATGTACGATCGTGCTCGTACATATTGGCACCTCGCAGAAGAAGAAGGAGCGGAGGATGCTGCACGTGGCTGCCCTGCTGCCCGATGACCGAAGACCTTGGCTGCCGGTGACTCCATGAGTGGTTGATGACCCAGGTGGTGGACCTCTGGTTGGCTGTCCACTTGATGTCCACCTGGCTGGTTGATTGACCAGGCAGCTCGCGGGCCTGGCTCCTGGTGATGCCATAGGTTACCAATATTAGTTAGGCGGGGGAAATTATACAACTATAACTACCAATACTGTTGTCCATCACTACCATCCATTAATTCCTAGTTTTCCTACCAACGACAACTACCATCATCAACGACAACTACCATCACCAACGACAAGTACCATCATCTACCACCAAGTTGAGCAACTACCACCATCATCAGAACATCACCAACCTGACAGCAGCGGATCAGTTACCGGCCTCCCGGAAGTGGGTCTCACCGGTAACCGAGAAGTCGCAGATGCTGTGCAGCGCAACATAAGCCAAGAGGGCACCAATGAAGAGGACAACAGCCAGGAGACAAGCAGCCTGGATAATCGACCAACCACTGAGACATCAGCCTGGCCACACCAGCGCCAGGCTCCACACCAGCTGCCTGGCTACACCAGCGCCAGGCCCACCATCAGCCTAACCACACCAGCGTCAGGCTCCACACCAGCAGCCTGGCCAAACCAGTGCCAGGTTCACCATCAGCCTGACCATACCAGCCTGGCCACACCAGCGCCAGGCCGACCATCAGCCTGACCACACCAGCGTCAGGCTCCACACCACCAGCCTGGCCACACCAGCGCCAGGCCCACCATCAGCCTGACCACACCAGCCTGGCCACACCAGCGCCAGGCCCACCATCAGCCTGACCACACAGCCTGGCCACACCAGCGCCAGGCCCACCATTAGCCTGGCCACACCAGCGCCAGGCTCAACAGCAGCCTTGGCCACACCAGTGCCAGGCCTCACCAGCGCCAGGCCCGCGAGCATCCTGGCATCACCAGGAGCCAGGCCCGCGAGCTGCCTGGTCAATCAACCAGCCAGGTGGACATCAAGTGGACAGCCAACCAGAGGTCCACCACCTGGGTCATCAACCACTCATGGAGTCACCGGCAGCCAAGGTCTTCGGTCATCGGGCAGCAGGGCAGCCACGTGCAGCATCCTCCGCTCCTTCTTCTTCTGCGAGGTGCCAATATGTACGAGCACGATCGTACATCCTGCTGCACCGTCAGCATTGACCGCCGGGCGACCCATGAACCCTCAGCGTGCACCGTCGGCACTCTACAACGACGGCACACTAACAAATACCTTTAAATGTGTACAAACAATAAACCATGTATAAATAGCAATAGTTAATACCAATAAATCAGATATCAACCGTCCGTCGTTGTGTCTCATTTCCCCCCGCTGCGGCCAAGACACCCTTAGCCGTCGCTATGATCAGTCCGGTGAGTCTGCCGGGCTGGCAGCGGGTCCCCGCCGCCTACCTGCCGTCCTAACGCTGCTGCCCTGGGCGACCTGGGCACAGCCTCCTTCCTCTCAACACTTATTATATCTATGTAACTATTGTTAGGCAGGGCTAGGGCTCTAGGGACTTAGTGTCTTAGGGAATAGGGACTCTAGGCTCCCTAGGGAGTTAGTTCCCTTCCTGACCGCATATCCCGGGCACGGGAGCGGTGCCTTACAACCACTGCCTCCCGCCCGTACACCAAGGATTTCCATAACCACCGGTTCTGCATCTAGGAGCTTTTCATGACATTTACCAGATCGTCATAGATACGGCATTTAGTTTTTGTACCTCAAATTATGTGTGCAATAAAGATTTTATACATATAAATCGTCCGTCTACCTAGTGTGAAGTCTTTCGGTTTATGATCGTCGATCGAGAACTCATCTTTGAGTGGTTTACCAGCAGGGCTGGCTACAG